GGCCAAACTCTAACAATGATAAGAGCTGTACACTGATGCCCACTGTAAGAGCATTAGCTTTTATTTTGGACTAGAGTGTTGATATATTTTCCTGAAAGATTGTTTGTGGTTAAATGCCTGTACTGTAGCCACTCACTCATAAACCACAAGGTTGCGAGTTCGATACTAACCAAGGCTCAGGCTAGACTCAGGCCTGCATCCTTCCGAGGTTGCTAAAATGAGTACCCAGCTGTTGGGGGGCAATAAGCTTACAGTTGTAAACCGCTTAAACACTCCATAGCACAATATGAAGCAGTACATAAATGAAGCGGCTTTGCTTTATTTGCTTGTTAAGTTTGTATGTTACTTTTTTTACAAAGCACAGCTCAGAGTGGCTAACAGCAATAAAAATAAAAGTTTAAACATCCAAAACATTAAAAGAGGCAAGTAAAACACAATTGACAAAAACAATAAAAACAATCAGTGAAACCTACTGTGGTGTATTTATAATAAGCCAGATTCAGAACCAAAAGTCCAGTTCAGTAAAAATGTCTTGGGGGGATGCAGATGGGCAACTGTGGACTGCCCTGGGAAGCGGAGGATTGGGGCCGAGGCTGCTCCACACCTCAGCCTCAATCTTCCCTTCTGCTGGCCTGAAAGGAGCGCTAAAATGCCGTTCCTTTTGGAGCCGGCAGAAGGGACACATCAAGAGCCGCCAAGCGGCTCTTCTGCATCTCTTCTGGCGCAGCACGTTAAGATGCTGCGCTGGAAGGATGCCTTGATGGCGCACGCTGTGCGTAATGGCGTATGCTGTCATGACGTCCTCAGGGAGAAGTTGGGGCACCCAGTGTGCGGCTGCCTCTCCCCTTCCCAGCGCCGTCTGTAGAGACCCAAAGGGAAGGTAATCAGAAATGGAACTAGACAGGCTTCCCTTGGAAAAATGTTCCAGAGCTTGGGAGAAGCCACCAAGAAGGCTCTTACATATAATGCTCTGCCTTCCTCTCAGCATAAATTCTTTTTCAGGCACAGATGAGCCCATCCTCTGCTTATACAAGCTTTATGGCAGGAAATTTCAGGGCACAAAGACACATACAGGAAGAGAAGTTGCCCCCTGTGCTTCTGCATTCTGCTTTTTTGTCATCTGTGGTATGGTTAGGATGCATTTCATCCCTACATACTGGCAAATACAAGACATACTTGTATAGTAAACCACCAGTAATTTTCAGGGTTTGACTGCCCATTTCTGCTTCTAAGCGTATCCCCTTTTTGATCAAGTTTACTATAGACTGAAGGCTTCCACAGCACCTGAAGAGCCTATTAGCATAATAAGAATGTGAAATAGTAGCAGGAATTATCTAATAAAACTAAAGAATAAGTGCAAATTATGCAGTCTGTGGCCCTCAGACAGCCCTTGTACAGAATGGGCTTTTTGTAGTGCCCATGGGCTCCTAGACCATGATTTTTAAATATTTGTTTGTTTGTTTGTTTGTTTGTTTGTTTGTTTGTTTGTTTGTTTTAGACTAGGCATATAGGGTGAAATAACCAGTTTAATTTTTTTTGAAAAATATCTGCCCCCCAAATGCTTTTTTCCCTAACAAAAATGGACTAGAGGGGCCCTGTTTGTCTCTTCAATACTGTTAGAGGGGCACCCCAAAGCAACAAAAAATAGCTAAAAGTGGCCAAATGTTACCTTTGTTTCTCCAAAAGGTTATGGATATGTTCCTCCAACCCTTGCCATAAACCCAACCCTTGAGCTGAAGAGAATGAAAAGTAAGCTAACTGGAAGTATATACAACTGGTTTTCATGATTAGTTTGCTTTTGATTAAATTATTCTGGATCAGCATGCAATTTTGAATTTTCTATTAAGTTCTTAGATTAGCTTTTCTTTTTTGTCAACAGCCTCCATTTGATGGTGAGGATGAAGATGAGCTCTTTCAGTCAATAATGGAGCATAATGTTTCTTACCCCAAAGCGATGTCCAAAGAAGCTGTGTCCATTTGCAAGGGGGTAAGTTAGTAAGCTAGAAGGATATGCCTAGAAAGATAATATTATCCTTCAAAACTGGAATGTAAAGAATGACATGCTGGTGTTATAAACATGCTTTAGGCACTGTTTTTCATGGCATTTTCTTATTCGTCCACACATCATCATCATTATCTATTGTTGTTATTGTTGTTGTTTTATCTTCCTAGAACAGGGATAGGCAACCTTTTTGAGCCAGGGGCTGACCCCCCGAAGTTGTCCCTTCTGGCGGGCCCAGGGGGGGAGGGGAATGGCGGTGTGTGCGCGCGCGCAACCCCCACTGCTGTGCGCGCCACTGCTGCCACAGCCACCTCTACGCATGTTGTGGCCGCCATTTTGCTCTCCAGAATGGTGGCCGTGACGCGTTTGCACATGCACAGTACTCCTGCCATGCGCAAACGCATCACAGCCGCCATTTTGGAAAACAAAATGGCAGCCGCGGTGCGCACGGCCATGCGGCAACCAAAACGCACGGCGGCAGGCAGCGGCGGTGGCAACAGGGGTCCGCCTGGGCCAGTAAGCGCAGGGCCCTGGGCCGGAACCAGCCCGGGGGCCGTAGGTTGCCGGCCCCTGTCCTAGAACAAAGGATTTTTAAAGATATGTCTATTGAACATTTATATATGTATACATCTCTCTCTCACACACACAAATATATATACAAAAATACAAAAATATATACATATACAAAAAAATTAAAATGAAGAATAAACAAGACTCACGATGCAACCTACTTATTGTACATTTAATAACTTTTCTTTAAACATTCAAACATTAATATACTTAACATAGCTCTGCATCTTGATCCTCTTTCTTTCATACCTTCCTTTCTTCTCCCTCTTTCAATATTATCCCTTCCTACTATCTTCTACCTCTTTCTCTCTTTCTCTCCCTTCTCTCTTCTCACCTTCTCCCCATCCTTTCTTCCTATCTCCCCTTCCTTGCTTACTTATTCTTTCTTTCTACCTACTTACTTTTCTTTTCTCTTTAATTTCTTTTTCCATTCTATCCATCCATAAAGCTGATAGAATTCTAACATTTGCAATATCTTTAAATTTTACTTTACACTCTTCTTGCATACATCTTTGCATACATTATTCAACATCAATCAAATCATCCATTTACTTCCATTTCTATAGTTCTTGTTATTTTTATCTGTCTTCAGGTCTTTCTCTCTTTATACACTCTATTTTCCTTCCTACAAAATCTAACTTACTATTTAAGTATATTTATCCTATTTTTAAATTACTATTATTTCTTAAATCACCAATTATTCTTTAAAACCTTCCATTGCTAATGGACACTATTTTTGAAGCATGTATGTAATCACACAATCCCAATCTTAATTATATTTATCCAAATTTCTGTCAGATATTAATCTCATCAATCTGTCCATCTCTGCAGTGTTGTTTATCTTCAGTAGTCATTTTTCTACATCTGGTATTTTCTTCATTCCAGTGTCAGGCAAATATCATTCTTGCTGCTATAATTAAATAAAATAGTACCTAGTGTAGAGGATTTTTAAAGGGTCTGGATTTGTCAATGCTGCTGACAAAAATAACATAACAATGCTACTGACAAAAATAACATAATTTAAGACCAAGAAGGAATAAAAAGACGCTGGATGCAATACACAGAATAATTATACAAAAGAGATGACAAAATGAAGGCTATATGGAAGAAAGAGACATATGAAGATGAGCCCCAAATTCTAAAAAGCTAAGTGGAACTGCAATAAGAGAAATAGCAAAAAACAAATTACCAGGAACAGATGATGTTCTAATTGAACTGCTGCAGTCCACATTGACAGAGTCAACTAGTGCTAACCAACATATGCCAACAGATATGGAAAATAAAACAATGGCCAATAGATTGGAAGCAGTTGATATACATCCCCATCCACAAAAAAGGAGATGAAAAAGATTGCAGCAACTATAGGACCATAGCACTAATCTCCCATGCAAGCAAAATTATGCTCAAAATTCTGCAACATAGACTCCAGCCATACATGGAGAGAGAAATCCAGAGGTCCAAGTGGGGTTCAGGAAAGGAAGAGACACTAGAGATTACATTGCAGACATAGGATGGCTAAAGGAGCACAGCAGGGAGTTCCAAAATAAAATCAGCATGTGCTTTATAGACTACAGC